CCACCAGGCCTTTGGTCAGGGCACAGCCTGACTCCCTCCTCTGGCAACCTGCACAGAACTTTGCTTAACGGTTGCCATTAAATTGATTTTAATAAATTTTTATAATGAAATGTTTTAGAATGTTGGATTATTTGATTGTTTAATTATTTGTTTGTTGTTAGCCGCCCTGAGCCTGGCTTTGGCTGGGGAGGGCGGGATATAAATAAAATTTATTATTATTATTATTATTATTATTATTATTATTATTATTATATGCACAAATACGGAAAGATACAGTCTGACCTATGGAGGAGTGGTTGACAAAATTATGGGACTTAGCTGAGATGGCAAAGTTAACGTGTTTAATTAGAGAAAAACCAGTATTGACATTTATTAAGGATTGGGAACTTCTTGTGGACTTTTTGAGTGAAAGAGAAGATGAGCTTGTCATATCTGAATTGGGGGTGTGTGGCGGGATTGGCTTATAGAAAATAGAATCGTTGGATTTCAATTTGAGTGAATACTTTGAACAAGTTACTATATTTAGCTGACAGAGAATCAGAAGTCTTTTCATCCTTCCCCCCTTTTCCTTTTATTTCTCTCTTTTTTTTAATGATATTTATTAAGGTTTCAAAGAAAAGAATTACATAAATAAAAAGAAAGAAAAAAATACAAAAATAAAAATAAAAGGAAAATACAAAATACAGAAAAAAGATAAAAAACACTTAAAAAAATATATCAGTCTTTCCATGCCTTACATTCATTTCCTTGCTTCCCGGACCTTCTCACACCTCCCTTTTTTGTATTCCAATTCAGTTAGTTAATTCAGCAATTTCTTTCCCTCTTTGTTTTTATCTTAATCCTTTAACTTAATATTTTATAACTTTGGATTCTCACCTGTTAACAGTCCATTTTTACATACACCTTTATAACATTGCTGCTTAAACCACTTAAGTTCATTCTGACATCATTCTAACATTCATTAATTTTGCAATATTTCTGTAAATAGTCTTTAAATTTCTTCCAATCTTCTTCCACCGACTCTTCTCCCTGGTCTCGGATTCTGCCAGTCATTTCCGCCAATTCCATGTAGTCCAACCTTTTCCTTTTATTTCTCTCTCTTCTGTTTCTTTTTTTCTTCTCCCTTCTCTTTGCTCATGTGTCTTTTTAGATTTGATTTTTCAAAAAGCTTTCTTTTATTCTGGTATATTACAAAAGAAGTTACTTTGTATTGGGTATAAACTTTTGTATACATTTTGATGAGTATCAGTAAAAATTAAATGGGGAAAGCATATGGCTTCATTAAAAAGGCTGGGAACTGGTTTGTTAAGGGTGCTGGGAATTCTAGGTCAGATAGGTGTAAACTACAGTTCCCATGAATTTTTGAAGTAATCCATGTGCGTAAAATGTGCTTACAATGTTTGGCATGGATATTGCCATAGTATTATAGATCTAGAAACACCCATTCAGCTTTGGATTTCTATGTTGTGTTGTGTGGCATGAATATTTGAGTTCACACTCTGTAGCCTCTATAGTAATTAAATGTGTAAAGAAGTCATATTAAAGTTACAGAATTTGTAGGGTAGTTGAGATTTGTTTTTGTTTTTCATGCGGATCTATGCTGTTTTTATCCACAACCCACATGACTTCCCAAGGGAGAAGAGGCTATTTCCCCCAAAACATTGTCCCCATTGGGGTGGATAGCTGGCATCGCCGTCCTTCTTTATTTCTCATTTGTATGTATAGCTCACTACTCATCAAATGGTCCCAGGGTGGGTTATGAAAATCACATTATTACAAAATAAAGCTACAAAACAGCAAGAGTAACAGAACCCTTTACCACATGTGGGATTTAGGGAGCAATCCGGTATGCAAGAAGGTGATGCAAAGCAAGCTAGTATTAAGTTGCACCAGAGCTGAAGCGTGTTCAACAATGGGGCCTCTTCTGTCTAAGCTGGCCTAAGCTTGGCAGAGGGGAAACATGCCTTTGAATTAGAGTTAGACCACTCTTTTTGCCAGTTGAATTTATGCTGGGTTCCTACGTCACAAGACTGAACTGAATGGGATTAAGATACAGCATAAGTTCTCCTTTCTGGTCGTGCCCCCAGAACATTCCTTTTCAGGAGTTATGGGATGCGGGTGGCACTGTGGTCTAAACCTCTGAGCCTTGGGCTTGCCGCAACCCCAGAGTCGTTCGTGACTGGACTTAACTGTCAGGGGTCCTTTACCTTTACCTTTTATGCTGAGACCTGCAGGTATAAGGTAAAGGGACCCCTGACTGTTAAGTCCAGTCACGAATTACTCTGGGGTTGCGGTGCTCATCTCCCTTCACTGGCTGAGGGAGCCGGCATTTGTCCGCAGACAGCTTCCAGGTCATGTGGCCAGCATGACTAAGCCGCTTCTGGCGAACCAGAGCAGTGCATGGAAATGCTGTTTACCTTCCCGCTGGAGTGGTACCTATTTATCTACTTGCACTTTGACGTGCTTTCAAACTGCTAGGTTGGCAGGAGCTGGGACCAAGCAACGGGAGCTCACCCCATTGCAGGGATTCGAACCGCCAACCTTCTGATCGGCAAGACAACAGCAGCAATTTAAGATCGAATGTGTTGTACTCATCCAGCTGGGTCCCAGTTGTGCCAGGATGGGGGAGATACATCAGCACATTTCCAGCTAAGCAGAGGATAAGGGAGGCATAGCCTAGTTGTGCCAGGAATCTCCCAGCTCAGCTAGAGACCTGCTGGATCCTAATCCACGCAGCGCAGCAGACTTTGCTATAGGATTGCTCCCTGAGAATTCCTGAGTAGGTCTCTACTTTCCTAATGTGGTTTGGATGGTTTCACCCTACGGCTCTCTGTATTGTAACACCAGGTTAACAATTCTTCAGCGGAAATATATTTTCCAATGCTATTGTTGATGACTCTGCCCACATTATCCTAACTCATCTTTACAGTTCTTTAACCAAAGGAAAACAATTTGCATAAGTATATTTAAATAAGCCAAAGAAGACAAATCTGGGATGAAGTGAAAGGATTATCTGAAGGTTCACTTGGCAGAAAATATTTTATGCAAATACGCATAGCAGTTAAAAGTGGAGGGAAGTGACAGAATATATAATACACTGGATCCATGGAACAAAATAAATAATTAGTTTTCAGCTTTGGGGTAGAGAGGAGAGGTGAAAAATAGCAATGGGATGTGAGCAGACTGAAAGAAAGGAAAGAAAGAAATCTTATTTCAGTACTCTAGTAAATAGATAAATCTGCTGAAGAGATTGAAAAGATTTAAATTAAAATGAATTCAATCAATTTATGCAAAGAATACAAGCAGATTACAAGCCTAAATATATAACTCTAAAAGAGTGTTAAGATAATGGAAGGAAACACTTTAGCATTATGAAGTACTACTTAAGCAGCATTTCTGCCAAGGCTGTCTCATTCATTAGCTGGTGATCCTTTGACCCTCCAAATGTTGCTGGACTACAGCTCCTGTCAATCCTAACTATTCACCAAGTTGGATGGGGCTGATGGGAACAGGAGTCCAACAATATTTGGAGGGACAAGGGTTCCCCAGCCTTTCATTCGAGGAATAGCTAACCTGAGTGGGTATCCAGCTGCCATGCAAATTAACTCCTAGGCTGTATAATTTTCTGAGCATGAAGAAAAAGACATTGTTTCTGAGGAGGGCAGATAGGATTAGGAAATGTTATCTGAACACCAACCCATATATTGTGAAGAGGAACTGTTTTTCTACTTCACTACATGTATGTTTCAAGATGTACATATGCTCCTCTGTTCTACCAAGGTAACAGCAGAAGGCTGGGCCATTTCAGAAAAAGGAGGCTGCTCAGGCACCCATCTCCATGTGGAACATGTGTAATATTAATATTAATATTAATAATAATAATTGTACCCCGACCATCTGGCTGGGTTTCCCCAGCCACTCTGGGCGGCTTCCAACAAAGATTAAAAATACATTAAAATGTCACACATTAAAAACTTCCCTAAACAGGGCTGCATTCAGATGTCTTTTAAATGTCAGGTAGTTGTTTATTTCTTTGACATCTGGTGGGAGGGCGTTCCACAGGGTGGGTACCACTACCGAGAAGGCCCTCTGTCTGGTTCCCTGTAGCTTTCCTCGCAGTGCGGGAACTGCCAGAAGGCCCTCAGTGCTGGACCTCAGTGTCTGGGCAGAACGATGGGGGTGGAGACGCTCCTTCAGGTATACTGGGCCAAGGCCGTTGGGGGAAAGGTGGCCATATATTTTAAACTGTATACCAACCTCTCTGTTTCCACTTGTTCCACCCCTAACTTTCAAGTGTGCAACACTTTCAGAAAGGTTTGAAGGCAAGATTTTTGTGCATTTATCTGAATATATGTAAAACTGACTGGATGACCCAGAACATATGATGCTGCTTTCTACAGAGCCAGCCTGTTGTCCATCTAACTCAGTATTGTGTACATCAGTGTTTCCCAAAGTGGGCAGCCCTGCCGCCTTGAGTGCAATGGGAAGGCACTGAATAATAAAAAAGGGGGCGGTGGAAGCATAAAAAAAGAAGAGAAGAGAATTTTGAAAAACCATTTGTACATGTTTCATCTGTTGTGTAATGACGCTTACCACCAGATCAGGCGCTGTTGCTGGACAGCGACAACTCCCCTGGATCCAGCTGCCATGCTGGAGGTGAGGTGTTTTCTCGGGCTTGGGTAAACCCTGTTTGGCTTCCTCCAGGTCTAGGAAGTAGATCGTAGCTTGCCTGCCTATTTGGTAGGACGTAGGTAGACTCAGCTTGTCTGCCTATTCGTATGGCATAGGTAGAAATATGGATACATAAAAGAGCATGAATTTCTCACTGCATCTTTCTGTTTGTTCACTTAAAGAAGATAAATTGCCAGGAGGGTGCTGAGTATTATTATTTTTCCTGGAAAGGGGACGGTAGGCCAAATAAGTTTGGGAACCTTTGGTCTACATTGACAACTGTCAGTATCTGTCCAGGATTTCAGATAGGGTTCTCTCCCGACCTTAGCTGGAGATGCCAGGGGTTTAACCTGGGAACTTCTGCATGGAAAGCAGATGCTCAGCCACTGAGCCATGGGTCTTTCCAACCACACTTCCTGAATGGGTGGTATTCCAAATATATGGTGGATTCTAGCCATGTTCAGATGAATGTGTGATGATACCAACTTTTGACCTTCCTGATCAATGCATGACTATCCACAGCTGCACCCAATAGAGGAAGGGATATTGGGGGCAGGGCTAATGCCTGTGGCCTCCATCTTCCATCCATCCATTCCCATCGAAAGTCTGTACTTATGGAAAAGTCATTGTGAGGTTGTGTCTGCCTTCACTTTGTTTGTTGACTTGTGGCATTGGTCCCTTCCACACACATTCATACACCTGTCTCAGGGCCACATGCAGTAGAGATTCAAACTAGGGAATCCTAAGCCATAGCAACTTGAAAACATGGGAGAATATTTTCATGAAACCCTTTACCATGAAAATAAAAATCGAGGGGAATCTTTATCACCAGATGAATTCTCTTCTTGGTGAACCAACAATGGTTGGACAACTTGCTCAAAATGTTTCCTTTTTCTAAAAGGTGTTCCCTCTCCTCTTGCAACAAGAAAGCTCGCTGACTCAAAGGGAGGTTGGTGGCACAGATTATTTTAAAACTAGAAACAGGAAAATTGAACAGGTGCTGGGGAGCCTTCAGGTCAGAGAACGAATCTGCTAGGAACAGCAGCCGTACAAGTGAGGGGATACTAAAATAGATGGATCATTAATCTGCTTCTGAGAAGTTTGCACAGATCAACAAAAATCAGTGGCACTAATCCAATCCTCTTAAATTCATTTATGCCCGGTACTTCAGACACCAGTTTAATGAACAGAAAATTGTTGAATCCTGTGCAGGATTAATTGGTTGTGCTGAAGAGAGCAGGTTTGTTTGCACACAACCACATATGAGTTATTGGTCAGTCTGTGGTGCAGCAAGGGCGAGAGATGGACAAATCTCTGCATTTCAGTTTCACATTTCTCCAATATCATGCTCAGTTCATGATATTTCCACATTGGTTTGGGATATACGTGTGTGTGTGTGTACTCATGAAAATTCATCAGTAATTTCATACTTGTGTCTCCTAACACACATATTTTTCTATGCCATTTTGCCCGATATGCACACGTTTAAAAGCAATTTATCCTCACATTATGCATTTCAATGTTGTTTTCATCAAGGTATAGCTTTTTATGCACTTTTCCCCTAATACCTGCATTTATGTACACCTCTTTTCATTTAAGAAGTGCATTGCAGGGACAGGCGGAGTCCCCCAAACCCTGGGTGGCCCCTGGGTGGAATAACGACTCAAGACAACGTGCTATGGGATTAAAATTGGCCACAACTTTATTATGTTGTGGGTAGACCTTGGCTCAGGCATTGGGCATTTATCCCTCCCAGTCCCCCGCTGGGGATCTGGGGAACATCAGGTTTATCCAGAGTGTGTGTGTGGGATGGGATGGCTCTGGAGAACATATATTCAAGCAGAGAGAGCCCGCCCCTGTTACGCCGCCGTCGCAGGGGAAAGCAATGACAACCTCTAGGCGTACGGCCAAAAACAACCCCTATTAACGGGGAACCCTGCGATCGCTGCCACAAAGAGAAGGGGGGTGTGGGTCACGGCTACACGCCTACCCCCATTTAGGGAAGATAGACTAAAGGATTCCGCCCAAGGCCTGATACCGCCAAAGTTGTGACGTTTTGCTACGGGAAAGGCAAACCTGCCAATGCAGGAGAATTTCTTTCCGGCCCTTCAACAGTGACCTTGATGTAGCAGCGCCCGCATACCTGTGGAGAAAAGGTTAACCTGCAAAAGAAGTCTTAACTGAGGGTGAGTAGGGTGGGAGAAGCTCCGGAGCCATCTGACGATTCCCAGGTAAGATCCTCCCCCTGTTCTGTGGGCAGGGTGGTCCCTCCCACTACCTGGCCTGATCACCTTGGGAACGCTTCCCCAGGTGGGATTGGGCAACTGGCTGAGGTAGGCGGAGACCTCCAGGTATCCCACCTGAGGAAGGCGAAGCCTGTGCTAATGGTGCCGCATAGGGTCCAGGGGGCTGCGCGCAACCATGCAAAGGGCGCCCCCATTTAATGTGGGGAGCGGTTATTGCCAAATTTGAAGTGAAACTTTTTAAGGATGGTGCAGAATGCTGTGGCACAATTGCTGATGGGAGCAGGGCTGGATTTAGGTTCGATGAGGCCCTAAGCTACTGAAGGTAATGGGGTCCTTCATGTGTCCAGCTGTCCTTTGTCAACAATAAATTGTCGCTTTTTGTGTTGAATATATGCTATATGGTAATTTATGGACCTAATAGGTATCTAAAGCCATTTGTACACACAGAATATAGGTACCCTATATATAGAAATGAGCAAACCAGTGATATTTTAAGGAGCAGGCTAGCAGGTGGGGCCCATTACTTACATCATAGGAGCCTACACAACACAAAACACTATTGCTGTATGTAGGTGTTATTTTATTTGTTTTTTATCTTATATTTTGGAAATGTACATCCAGTTTTTTCCCCTTTACTTTTTTGGGGGACCCCCAAGAGAGTGGGGCCCTAAACTATAGCTTGTTTAGCTTATACGTAAATCCAGCACTGAACATGAACAGTGCAGGCAACTCCCCTTTGAGATTCAATGACAATGTGGGGAAGCCCTTTACACAAAACCCTTTACACAAAGCTAAAACCACAATGACTAGTTGTGTAGGAAGTGGGGTGGCGGGATTCAGTCAACACCTGTCTTTCCTTTCTTCTCCCTGGAAATGCTCAAAAGTGAGATCTAAATCCCGCAAACCCTCAGACCATTCATCGACAAGCTTTCTCAGAAGAAGCAGTGCTAACAACCAGAAAGGCCTTACTACCAGGAAGGGTCTTCCAGTGCCCTTTCACTCTCTGCTATCTAACATCTATGCACCTTATCTGTGAGGTTATTTCTTACAGCAAAGCAATGTACCAGCACTTGTTATCCCACTGAATAATGGGTGGCATTTTTATAAGATGACCCAAGAGTTCAGAGTAGGTTGAGAAAACAGCACATGGAGCACATGGCAAATTAACAGATCAACAGGAATGCACAACATTCAAGCTAATAAACAGTGGAGCATTCCTCATCCTCCCCCCACAAAAGGTAGGGGTGAGTAGTATATTTCCTAGCCCCTATACTGGGACAATGGACAATAGACATGAATATAGGAGAGGGAAATCAATAAAGGGAAAGAAGCAGGAAGAACTGTAGAAGCAACTCAGTTTGGAAAGATTAACAAGCCTTATTGAGTGAAATGTTGCTATGTAGGAATCAATGGAAGGGCTGGTATTGACTTCAATGACTAAACAGAGTTCAAGACACACTTTTCATGCTGTGCTGCTGTTAGAGATTGAAGAGGGAGCAGCGTCAGAAGGAGATGGTGCTGGAGTGGCGAGGAAACACTCACCAATGATGTAAGGAAGCCATGCTCTGTGCTCCATGCTACGGCGAAAATGGGAAGAAAGTATAGCACAGAGGCAATTTCAAATAGTCCCACTGTGATGCGAGAAGAGTGAAGAATGGCCCAGACGGTGGTCAACATCACTGCTATGTGAAGGCATGTTCAGGAGTCTGCCTGAATAAGTTAAGCCAGGGATGGGTGCAGGAGTGCAGAAGCAATCACCACTGCAAACATCACCAGGCATGTGGGCTGCTCTTCAGGACTTTTTGCAATTATTCCCGAAGGCTTGAAGGAAGTTTTTAAGTTAAGCCTTTCCTAAACTGATTTAGTATGGTATACCCCGTCAAGTATAACATATTTTTGCATAGTGTAACTGAAGGAAGACTCCATTTTCCTTTGTCCTAAAATTCTACCTCCCATGGTCACTCAATCTGAACAATTTACTTTCTGTTTGGACTGGTGCATTGATTCCCCTAAGGCAGGCATAGGCAAACTCTGGCCCTCCAGATGTTTGGGACTACAATTTGGGACTACAGTTGATTTGGAACAACTTCTTTGCAACTCAGAATTTAATCAGTTCCCTGCAAAATGCTGGGTGCATAGGAAATTTTAAAATCAGTTGCAGGAACTGTGCGACAACAATGCTATTTGTACCTGGAGAGTACGGATAGGAAGATCTATCAGTTTGGGGTCTCTCAGATTCTAATTGTCTCAGACTTAAATTCAGCTCTCCACATTTCAGCAGCAATCTGTAAATAAAAAGAAAAAGAAAATTATCGTGGATATTTTCCAGCATTTTATTGCAAATTTATCTTAAGAAACACATGTTTCTACATCATTTACACTAACATATGGATTTAGATGCACATTTCCTCCTAAAATATGCATGAATGTAAACACTGGTAGGCTAAATAACTGCAAAGCAAATTCTGGATCGGTGCACATTTTGAAGGATGGCTGTATTTTGGTTCTCATATCGTTTCAGAAAGTGCAGTTTTGATAGACTCGCATCTCCAACAACCTGTTCACTGGACCACACTGGCTAGTTTTTGACCACATGTTGACATCAGTTGAACTGTGTCATGGTAGATACATGGGCATACATGAAGAAGGTTGCTTTGGGAAGAGCAAAATATGGGCCACAAATGCTGTACTGTTTTATATTCTCTTTCATATTCCTGTATCTTTTAGCTTCTGCATAATGAGCTGATGAAGTTCCAGTTGTTCCCATCACTTTGCCATCTACCATTCATTTTAAGATCTATTATGTATACAATGATTATGCTTGGGAAAACTTTTCTTCGGTAACCCAAACTGATCAAAAGAGAGCACTTTCTTTCTTTTTAATCATGAAATTAACAATGCCATTTGATGCAGGGGGAAGAATGCAACAGTGAACAGGCATAAATCATTGCCAAATGTCTAATGCCCGAGGCCACTTCATATACAAAGGTTTGAAAAAATTGCCTTTTATAACATGGCAAGTTTTCTATGCTTCATATTTTAATCTTCACTATGACTTTACATATGCTTTTTTAAATAAGCAAATTATTGATAGGCTCTTCCTCGCTTGACATTATGTACAGGAGATACATGTCCTGAACTGGACAAAGAGAAAGTGAA